CAACAAGCTTTTAAAATAATCATAATTTGTCATCAACAAGATTATAGAATTATCACCACCATAAATATAGTAATTCAAGTCATTAGAAATTGTATATAACATTTATAATTCTACAAGAGTTCTATAATACTACCACATGTGAAAATACTAGAATTTAGCATACTACTAAATCATATAATCTTTCTACACATGGTATACACATATCATACATGCTTATATCAATAAACCCTAAGTCAAAAAGTGATGATTTTCTATAATATGCAAGACTATCATATTAAAAGTATGTACACAATATATATTAAACCCCAAAGGATTGTAAAACACTTAAAATATAAACATACTATCACCCTATCTCAATAGAGAATTGAATCTCTATACTCCAAGCAACCAAGCTTAAAAATGGAAAACAATTCTAGGGTTTTGAAGAGAAGAGCAAGAGGAAACTTTTACTTCCCAAGGTTTATGGTCTAAGGTGAGTGGAAGGAAGCTAAAAATGAAGTCAAAGCTCTAAGCCAACTTTTCCTCCAATGGTGGCTAGGTTAGGGTTTTGAGAACAAGTGAAATGAAAAAGATGAAGTGAAAAATGATGAGTGGAGGATCTAGTATTCCTCTACTCATTATGTGCTCTTACACTAACTCTCACACACATACAATGCAAGACTAAAATATAAACCCACACTTGTCACAAATCCATGGCTCCTTCCTAGGCTTAATCCTAAGCCTATACTTGTCAACCATCCAAGCCAACAAGTGCACCAATCCTAGGCCAACAAGTGGGTGAATCTCCACCCTCCAAATGTCAAGAGATTATGCATCCAAGTCACTCCACCCCATTGCCAACAAGTGGCACCATGAGAGAGTGACACTTTTCACACTTTCCAAAAATTACAAAAAAGTCCTTTTTCAAAATATCTTCCAAATTAAATTGCAAAAAGGTCCCTAAAATGAAAAATAATTATTTTACATAATTACACTAAAATCCCAAAAATCAAAAATGTTTCCAAGAAAGTATGCATCCATGCCCTTTACGAAAAATGAAAGCAACTAGCATGCTTTTCTACAAAAATAAAAATACAAATGTCATGGAAATCAAATATCATGGATGCATGAAAAATTGGAATCAAATCCGAGCACAAAAAGTAAGGTTATGCAAGGAAAAATTATAAACGGGAAAAAGACGAAATAAGGAAAAGACAAAAATAGGAAAAAGGTGAAAAAAGAAAATCACCAAAAAAAGGAAAGGGAAGAAAATGACCAAGTCATTACATGATGAGCACCCACTTCTCAGCTATTACCGTTATCTTGAAGTTAAGTTATTTAGCTATCAATTCTAGTAGCTCATAGCTTTAGTACAGACTTATCTAAGTAGTCTATCTTGATAGTAGAGTAATTTGTTTTGAAGAATATTCTTCAAAAACTACTACTTTACAAGTAGTATTATTCCTTCCTACATGAGCAGATATGATATATAGCTCAAATAGCTTATGGCTAAAATGGCTACTCATCACCCTCGTGTTTTTTACTATCAAGTTGAGAGCTAGAACCAACTAACATATTTTCATCTTCTTCTTAGGTTTTGTGCACCTCATTAATCATTTTAGCTTATATCTAAGCTAACTAGTTTGCAACTCAGTAACATTTTAGCTTTTAGCTAAATTGTACATTAGAGCTAACTAACTTGTTTAGTTTGTCTCAGTGTACTTGCTTAATGTATCGATAACATTTTCCATTAAACTCTTTAGAATTATTGGAAAATCTTCTCTTATTCAGCCCATTCACAGCTATACGTGTCTTAAATACTAGTATAGATCTTTTTTCCCTTGACTATTAGGAGAATTGATATAGTTGGACTAGTTAATTTTTGTTTGTTGTGTTACATACACAAACCAGTCATGAATTCATACAAATTCAATAATATCACATATTAAATAAACTATGTTGTAAAATTGAATTACAATATATACTAAGTAATTCAACTACATAGTTCAATATTATAGTATCAAATAAAAGTAAACATTTATAAAAATAATATTGAACTTGCATAACAATATAATTTAATATTATATCACATGATTAATTATATCACATAATTAATCTAAAAAATAATTTAATAATAATATTCAGAAGAAGACTTTGCTTCCTTAAAGTTTTGTGGCTCATTCTCCAATAAACATGCTAGAAAATTAGTACCAAAAGATTTAGACTTTCTAGCCCTCTTGCTACATCTAAGCTCATCATTATTTTTATTATATGATTTATGCATAAAAAAACAATATGCACTACTGTTATGAGCATAACATATCAAAGATTTTATGTAACGATCACTCCACCACATGATTTTGTTCTTAGGTTTTATCCCAAAAGGCCTCATACCAATTGGAGATAACACTACCACATAAAGCACTTCACATTTCCCTTACCTAAGCAATGTGAGATTGTGCACTTGTAGCTCGCCTAGTGTGGTAGCCTATCAGTGCCTCTTGCACCCGTCCACGACACACCCACCTACAAGGTCGTCACATTTTAGGTCCCACTTTAACTTTCTTATGAGTAGGAACTGCAACCTTAGTTAGACACCCCTACACATTTAAGAATTTATAGGAAGGTTTTCAACCTTCCCATAATTCACATGGTGTCACATTAGTTTTCTTTTGAGGTATTTTATTGAGAATATAATTTGCAAAAAGTAAAACTTTCCCCACACAAATTCTGAGTTAAACCAGAACTTATCAACATAGCATTTCTTCGTAAATGATACCATGTTTTAAACAAATATCAACAAATGGTGTTTCGTATTCATAAACTCTATCATTTCTTAACACCTTAATCTTTTGCCATGTTGATTCTCAACCTCATTTTTGTAATGTTTAAACATTTCTAAGATTTCATCTTTACTTCATACCAAATATACATAACAGTATCTTTTGCAATCATTGATAAAAGTAACGAAGTACTTTTTTTTTTCCACCTCTAGTTGGCACAAATTTATGATAATATAATAACTACATAAATTCATATTACAAAATTAAAATAATTCAACCAATATTGAATTATATAAATAATCCAATAATCTATTTATATAACATGCTTCAATTCACATAATATTGAACACATCAATATTTAGCATATTATCATATAATAATGTACATAACATTATTTTATTATATCTCAATTATTAGTATAATCTTTACTTATTTATATCTTAAAAAGAAACATATAATAAAATGTACGTAATGACTGAATATGTCTTAGTATTGTTGGTAAAATATATGTTTCATGTGACATTTAAGATATAACAACCCTTATACTAATATGCTATGAGATAATTAACAATATGCTAATAAATGATTAATTAAATATGCAACTATATGTTTAATTAAATATACAAAATAAAGTAATAAATAATAAATAAAAAATCTGGACCGATGCTTGTATTGAATAATATGTCCTTAAGACATATTCGCCCTACTATAATGCTAACGGACTCAGTAGCATCTATCTCCCAGGATACAACGGTCTACATCTACCAATAGCAGCACTACAAACTCGTGTATATGACGAATCTCCTCCGTGTAATAGTCCCTTTGACTCAAAAATGCATCTATACTATAGAAATAATGAATTGGGTGCAATCCAAACCAAATGGTTCGGACCAAATTTAATATGGCTCAATGAAATTGATTTTGGGCCTAAGTGGCTCAGACTACTTAACCATGGCTTGAACCCATACTGTGACGGCCCTAGTTTTTCAAGCCAGTGCGTCCTGTGATAAACCGAAGATTGACCCGATAACGGATCCGAATGCAGAAACAAAAACAGAAAACAAGACTCTAAGAAGTCAAAGTGACCTTCCATGATGTCGTAGAACTTAATGAGAACTGATGCGGAAGCAAAAGATCGAAAATATGACAAATAAGCCCCTATGGGAAAAATGATAATTTTTAAAAAATATGAATTCGGGTGCCACCGAGCACACCGCTGGAAAGACAATGAAAAACTAATCAAGATGGACTCAAGAATCACATGATTCAGAGTTCGGACAAAGGAGAAACGGTATGACGAAGAAAAATGAGCACTCAAGGCTAAAAGGGTAAACTGATAATTTTTCAGGAAGATCCGGGTGCAATCGAGCACACCGTTGGAAAAACAGCGAAAAATTAGTCAAGTTCAAAAAAAAGTTCACTCGATGTGGAGTCCGGATGATGGAGAATGAGAGAAAACAAGAATCGACGTTACGGCGTCAAGACGAGCACCCCATGAACATCCCCACAAGCATCCTGACATGCTAGGGGAAGAAAAAAGGCTCAGCCAGAACTGAGAATCGAAACGAGGTCCGAAACGACTTTTTCTGGAAAAAAAACACGAAGAAAAAACCTCATCTAAAATCGAATTTTCTACCCGACTGTGTGAAAGAAAACGAAAAAAACTCACTGTGAAATACCTAAAATACCCCTAGATCAGAAGAGGTCAAGAGGGCCAAATAGAACTGCTACAGTAACTACCCACATCTAAGAGCAGAAACGGGCTATCAAACGAATTTTTCTGAAAAAACACGAAGAAGAAACCCCTCCCAAAATCAAATTTTCTACCCGGCTCCGTGAGATAAAATGAAAAAAACACACTATTAAATGGCCAAAATGCCCCTAGATCAGTAAGGGCTTAAAAACTAAAAAAATGCAACTTTGCACTAAGTATGCATTTGACCCTAAATGTATTTCTAGGTTGAAATGAATGTGCATGCAAGTGTAATAAATAATTCTAAATGCGTGGGAATGATCCGAGGCTCCCGAGAAGTCCCGACTCAAAATCCGACCCCCTCGACGGCTAAAAATGATAAAAATGAAAAAGAAATGGGAAATTTGAAAACCAAAATTAACAAATGATTTTAAATTACCATTTGACCCTTGGACACACTCCAAACATGATTGATGAGACTCTATGAAAGAATAAAAATGGAATTCCCACACCCGATGCAAACATGGTGAAGCAATGACTTGTCATTTTTCAATATTTTTATAACATTTCATGAAATCAAGAATTACATAAGATACAATATAAATGTTATTGGCCTCCGGCTTTATCTCACACAAGTCAAATACATCGTAAAAGGTGTACTTATGTACACATTACATATATGGAATCAAAGATACAAGTTTAGACATATAAGGCTACAAAATGACATTTCATGCTAACATTTGCATGAAATGGAAACTTAAAAGTTACAAGTCATCTAAAGTATGATGAGTATCATGAACCGAGTCTTCATACCTGAAACAAATCCCCAGTAACTTCTGGGTGAGTAACATAAAGCTACGCGTAGGAAATGAGCATGCATTGACCTAGCATTTTACAAAATTATCACCTTGAGGTTGAATAAGTCAAAGGGGCTCATGCCACCTAACGTCTATGTCAAGATGAGACTCAGGAAGCATCCTAAGCTACCTTAAATCATTTCTAACATAAATCACATCATTCATGCAATTTAACAACATGAAAGCATGTTATACAAAGCAACAACATATAGATTCTCAAAGTCCTCAACTTGAAATCTAAAACACAAAAACAACTAAATTGGATCATGCCACCTAACGTCTATGTTCTAAATGAATCTATGGGATCGTTCCTAAGCTACATTTGAACATCAAAACACAAATCACAATATCGATGCAATTTAACCAACATTGGAACTTCTAATACAACGCATAAAGCATGATTTCTCAAAGTTAACTTCTTGAAACTCAAAATGGGAAATCAATTGAGGAACAATAAGTTACATCATCTAGTTATCAACTTGAAATGAAAAGTGAAATCAAACAAGGTAGATACTTGGATATCACGCCAGATCAGACCGATACCATAGTTATTTTAGGGTTACTAGCCCATGGGTAACCTCCCTATGTGCGCACTAGACTATAGAGGGACAATCCCTCATACTAGAACCATGTCCTAGCCGTAGTCAAACAACGACATCCCCAAGTTTTCAAAATCAACAAGTTGTGCAATAACGTATATATCAACATGTATATACAAGATAATCAACTATCTACCACGCACAACCAAATTTGGAAACACATACAATACATGCTCCACGTCCACAACTACAATGGCATGACAAATATTGAATCTTCAGTGTGTGATTCGTTACACGCTATAACAATGTTACTCAATATTGGAAACATAAACTCATAAATCTAAATATAACAACAATGTTATCCAATGCTCAAAATGTCACTAAGTGAATGTACAACAAGTCCAAGTCCATGATTTAAACATAGAAACAACTTCCAAAACACAAATAAATCCATGGAGCAATTACATAGAATTTAATTAAATAAAAAATAATTAAATTCTCTAGATTCCAAATCAATTCTAAATAATCTCAAATTAATATATGTTGACGGATATAGCATGGTCATCACATATATCACATCAAACAACCAATTTAGTGATTAAAACACTTAGAATAAAATTAATTAAACTAATTAATTAATTTCCTCTAGATTTTTAAACAACTCCAAATGCTCTCAATTTAACATATGTTAAAGAATTCACCTAGGCCTACTTTAATATCACATTACAAGTTGATTTCATGCTTGATACAATTATATGAATTAATCTTTCCCAAAAGAAAAATATTAAATAAAAGTTGTTATTCTTATTCAAATAATCCAAATTTAATATATGTCAACAACTATACCAAGGCCTAAATTTCTAGCATGCCACAATTTAATTCTAAGTTGAATATCTTAATGAGAATTAAATTTTAAACATAGAAAATAATTAAATTAAATTCTAGATTATGAACAAAAGCATGCATACAAGTTGTATAAACATCAATAGTATGCAAGACAACAAAAATATAAACTATAACATCCCCTACCTCCATTTGAGATAAAAATCTCAAATCCCCACAGAAAGAAAAATGTTCCGAATCTGAGGATACTCCTAGGTTATGTCGGAGACAACATGGTGAACATTAAACTTCAAATAGGACATACCAAAATCCAAACTTGACCTCAAACCCGAATTCAAAAAATGGCCAAAAATGGATTCTAATAAGGGGGAAAGACGTGCGTAGTCAAAACAAACATAAAATACAAAGGCACTACGACTTTTTAACAAAGGGAAGAAGCTCAAAAGAAGAGAGAAGGTGGCAGCCCCTTGGCTGCCATGGAATCCAGCCAAGAGAGGGAAGAAGAAGGTGAAAAAGTGATTTTTCACTTTAAGGCATTCTATTTGTAGTAAAACCCTAAAAGTGCCCCGCCGGGTCCGGAAAAATGGAATTCGCGCAGACGCGCTCAAATGGAAAAACTCCGTGAACAAAAAAGAACCAAAATGAGAAAAGATGAATAACGGAAGAAACGACATCAAAAATCGAGTCCCGAGTAAAGAGATATGCCCCTAACAAGTTCGGCGCAACCGGGGCTAGAAACCCTACAATTGAGGGAAAACGACCAGAAGGCAATTCTAAGAGTACACGACTCGACAAAAAGTAAAAATAAATCCTGTACAAGGATTCGGGCTCAAAACGAGACATTTTTGCAATAACTTTCCTTAATTGCACAATAGCCCCTCCAAAAAGTAAAAACTGCACTAATGACCCAAATGAAAATATCTTCCCAAAATATTTTCTTAAAAACCCCTGAAATAAAATATTTTCAAAAGATATTTACGAAAAACACCCCAAGAAAAGAAAAAGTTCTGAAAAACTATGCATCTATGTCCCTATAGACACCGGGAGTAACCAAAGTACTTTACTGCAAAAGTAAAGATACGTATTTCGTGAAAACCACTTAGAATGAAGATACGTGAAGTCAAAAACCAACTTCGAACACAAAAAGTGAGGTTATACAAACAAAGTGACAAACAGGGAAAAGACAAAATGGGAAAAAAGACGAAAAGTGAATAGTATTAAAAAAAATAAAAATGTGAAAATGACGCGATCCTCAAAGGAAGTTGTCAATTCAAATAAAAGAGTCTGGGGAATCATTCCAGAGCACCCGAGACGACACTAAGTGACGAGAAACTGAACTCAGAAAGGAAAAGATCAGCGGAAAAAATATATATATATATATTCGTAAAAATCTGAGAAAAGGGAAAGGAAGGAAAATGACCGGGTCATTACACATACCCACTTAGGTTGGGTTCATCTTAAGAGAAGGAATGAATAATCAATTGCCTTTCTTAAATGGCAACCAAAGGTGGGTATTTCTAGAGAAACTGGTGCCACTTGGTTAATGGACGTGTCCCTTTACTCGCATCCCTTCTACCAAAATTTGTTTAAACTACCCTTCACACATCTATTCACTTTGGGTGTGGCTATTTACTTTGGGTGTGGTTCATATTGAACAGACATAAATTTGGGTTGCACCTCTTCTTCTCACAACCCTTTATAGCACATTTTAAGTGCAATGCATCCCTTAACAATACGGTAAGTTCCATTCACATATTCCAACAAAAAATTTGAGGTGTACAGTTTGGTATCAGAGCCTAGGCTAAGAATCACCTGGCTAAGAGAAGTGATAGTAGGAAAGTGAGTATATAGTTATACAAATTATCTGATCTCTTACCATGCTCCAGTTTAAAGTACTATTACTTGTGAGGCTTATTATTAATATTCTTTACTAAAAATAGCATATCAAAAGCTGGAATAGGCAGAGGACGCCCTGTTAGAGGCGGAGGTTAGGGAGGCTCCGGTCATGGTGGTGTTGGCCATGACAATGTTTGGTTAGAGGATGCACCTCATGCGCTGAATCCGATGATTGGATTTATCAGAGATATATGCAAATTGGGAGCTGTTGAATTTGTCAGACCTACCGATTCACTTGATGCTGAGAATTGGATTGAAGATATGGAGAAATATTTTGAGATGATGGACTGCATTAAGGTACAAAAGAGGAAAATTGGTACTTTTCTCTTATCTGGTGAGGCGCGTCAGTGGTGCAGTCAGAGAGCAAGATTGTTGGGGACATTGTAGCTATGACATGGGACAATTTTAAAACTCGGTTCAATGACAAATACTTTTCACTAGCGGTGAAGGACAAGAAGGCAACTGAGTTCATACAGTTGGAGCATAATAGTGATATGTTAGTTAGTGAGTACGAGAGAAAGTTATTTAGGAAAAAAAAAAAGAGTATGAGAGAAAGTTTACAGAACTATCCTCATATTGCGAATGAGTTACACAAGGTCAGAAAGTTCGAGCGAGGGTTGATCTCTCATGTGAAGAAGTTTGTGGTTGGTCATAGTTATGACACATATGCTAAAGTTGTGGAATGTGCCATGGCAATAGAGGAGAATAATAACATTATCTTTCATAAAGAGAAGGAACGTAAGGAAAAATAAAAAAGTAAGGGGGCTAGCAGCTCTTAACAAAATCAGAGGGCAGCAACAGCAGACTCAGAGAAACTGGTAAGGTCAGTCTTGGCAAAGAGGCAGACAAGATTGAGAAGCAGGGAAACGTCAGAGAAGGTGATCAATCCACAGCTTTAGTACCGGCCATACCTCATGATGCACAACCACATCCGTTCATCTAGTATTATTACAATTGTTGTGAGCAAGGACATATGGCTCGTAATTGTCCCAAGCCTCGCAAGGATGACAAAGGTCAGGCACTACAGCATCACAGAGGTGTAAGGGTTTATGCAGTTGTTCTAGATAGGAAACAGGACCGTGCACCACCAGCAGTGGAAGGTACACTTACTATTTATAGCAGTATCGTTAAAGTACTATTTTATTCAGGTTCTTTATATTATTTTATTGTACTATCATTTGTGGACACACTGGGACTTGAACCTGAACAAATAAGTAATGCCCTATCTATTAAAACTCCACTCGAAAGCACAATGACACTTGATAGAATATGTCGTACTTGTCCTGTTACAATTGGGGAGTTGGAGTATCCTATTGATTTGATAGTATTACGGATGAGGGACTTTAGCGCTATTTTGGGTATGGATTGGTTGGCTAGATATCATGCTCAGCTAGACTATCATCAGAGGATTATTGTACTCTCAATTTCGAGACAGTTACCTTCTTAGTATAAATGTTGGGAGTTCGAGGGCATGACTATGGGATTTCTTGCCCACATTAAGGTGGTTGAGCAACGCATGACTATAGAGCAGTTACATACAGTGTTAGAGTATGTAAATGTGTTTCAGGATATTCCAAGTTTGCCTCATTCCCGGTATTTCACCTATCTCTAGGGCACCCTACAGAATGATGCCAGTTAAATTGAGCGAGTTAAAGAAACAGACTCAAGAGTTGCAAGGTCGTGGGTTTATTTGACCTAGCAAATCACCTTGAGGATCACCTATTTTGTTTGTCAAGAAGAAAGATGGGTCGCTCCGTTTATGTGCTGACTACCGTGAGTTGAATAGGGTTACTATTAAGAACAAGTATCCATTACCACGCATTGATGATTTGTTTGATCAGCTCAGAGGGGCGCAGTTGTTCTTTAAGATTGACTTGAGGACTGGTTACCACCAGTTGAGGATTAAGGAGGAGGATATTCCTAAGGCTGCCTTCAGGACTCGTTATGGCCTCTATGAGTTCTTAGTCATGCCTTTTGGGTTGACTAACGCTCCAGCAGCTTTTATGAATTTGTTGAACCGAATGTTTCGACCTTACTCAGATCAGTTTGTTGTGGTGTTTGTTGATGACATTCTGATATATTCCAAGACTAAGGAGGAGCATGAGAGACACTTGAGCATTACACTTTAGACTCTGCGTGAGCATCAGCTCTATGACAAGTTTGAGAAGTGTGACTTTTGACAAGAGCAGATTCAATTTTTGGGGCATGTAATCTCTAAGGATGGAGTTTCAATGGATTATGCCATGGTGGAGGCTGTGATGAGTTGGAAATGGCCTACTATTGTCACGGAGATTCGTAGCTTCTTGGGACTGGCTAGATATTAAAGGTGCTTCATTGAGGGTTTCTCCAAGATTGGTACACCTTTAACCTATTTGACTCAAAATGATTTGAAGTTTTTTTGGGACCACTACTATGAGCAAGCATTTGAGGAGCTGAAGACGAGATTGAATTCAGCACCAGTTCTTACTATTCCTGTCAGTGGTGAGAGATTTGTTATCTACACAGATGCATCACATCAGGGACTTAGCTGTGTTTTGCTGCAAAATGGTAAGGTGGTAGCGTATGCCTCTAGGCAACTTAAGCCACATGAGCAAAATTACTTTACGCATGACTTGTAGTTGGCGGCAGTGGTTTTTGCATTGAAGGTATGGTGGCATTACTTGTATGGTGAGAAATTTGAGTTATTCTCTTATCATAAAAGCCTCAAGTAGCTCTACACTCAGAAGGAGTTGAATATGAGGCAACGGAAGTGGATAGAGATGATAAAGGATTTTGATATAACCCTTCAGTATCATCCTGGGAAGGCGAATGTGGTAGCAGATGCCTTGAGTCGAAAACCGAAATGATTAGTTGCCTTTATGATGATTCAGGAGTGGATGATGTTAGAGGCATTGACAAAGTCCTCTATTATGCTGAGTTATTAAAGTACAAGGGTTCTTCTTTGTAGGATCATTCATGCTCAGACTCAGGATGACAGGATACAGGCCAAAGCAATTAAGGCTGCCAATGATGAGGGTAATGTTGACTGGACATGTGGAGGTGATGGTGGTATGAGATTTCGAGGTAAGCTATGTGTCCCAGACTTAGCAAACCTAAATAGAGATATTTTAGAGAAGGCACACCACTCTAAGGATACAGTGTATGCAGGTGGCACTAAGATGTATCATGATCTTAAGAGGCAATTCTGGTGGGAAGACATGAAACATAATATGGCAGAGTTTGTGTCTAGATGTATCACTTGTCAGCAAGTGAAGGCTGAGCACCAGAGACCAGCAGGACTACTACAGCCTTTGCCGTGCCTGAGTGGAAATGGGAGCATATGATGATGGATTTTGTTGTGGTGTTACCAAGATCGATACATAACCATAATACAGTGTGGGTAATAGTGGACCGATTGACTAAATCAGCTCATTTTCTACCCATTCGAGCTACTGATATCGTAAAGGATTTGTGTAAGATCTACATCAGAGAGATAGTTAAGCTCCATGGAGTGCCAACGTCTATTGTTTCGTTTTACATCTCGTTTTTGGAGTAGTTTTTATGAAGCTTTTGGTACTCCTTTGAGTTTGAGTATTGTTTTTCATTCTCAGATCGATGGCCAGTCCGAGAGAGTTATTCAGGTGTTAGAGGATATGCTTCATGCTTGTGTGTTAGATTTTTGGGGCAGTTGGGAGGATCACATTCCACTAATTGAGTTCGCTTATAATAACAGCTATCAGGCTAGTATCGACATGGCACCATATGAGACACTTTATGGTAGACCTTGTCGTTAACTTATATGTTGGGCTGAGGTTGGTGATGGTAGTTTTTTAGGGCCAGAGTTGGTATAAGAGACTACGTAGAAGGTTGTTATCATTCGAGATCGACTTCGTACAGCTCAGAGTCGACAAAAGAGTTATGCAGATCGACGCCACTGAGCTTTGGAATTTGGTGTAGGAGACTTTGTGTTCTTGAAAGTCTCATCAAGGAAGGGGGTTACGAGATTCGATAGGAGGAAAGGGAAGCTAGTTCCTCGATTCATCAGACCTTTTAAGACCACAGAGAGGATTGGGGAAGTGGCGTATAGATTGGATTTACCACCTAGACTATCAGCTATTCATGTTGTTTCCAATGTCTCTATGTTAAGGAGGTGCTTGAGGGACGAGACTCAGGCCATTGACTGCACAGAGGTTTAATTGTGCCTTAATACAACTTATGTTGAGACGCCTGTTCGCATTATTAACCGTATGGTGAAACAATTGAGGCAGGCAGAGATACCTCTAGTGAAGGTGCAGTGGAATCATCAGGACGAGAGAAATGCTAATTGGGAGCTAGAGTTAGAAATGAAGGAAAAGTACCCACATCTCTTCGAATAAGGTATGCAAATTTTGAGGACGAAATTTCTTTTTAGGCGGGTAGGATGTAAAACCCTTAACTTTCGTATATTATATTATATTATTTATTATTTAGTATTTGAATGATATATTAGAGATAATTGAGTTTTTAAAAGTTAAATTTTAAAAAGGAATCCTAGACTATCTCAACTCTCAGTTATAATTATCCTTTTATAGCCCACGTTGTATCAGTTCTAGGGGTATAGTATTTCGTAAAAAAAAAAAAAGAAAAGAAATATATCGAGAGAGAGAGAGAGAGAGAAGAAGAAGTGGAAATCTGATATTGTGTCTTTCTGTAGTAGCCAATAGAAGGGACGGCGACCAAAAATTCGTGTAGAAAGGAAGAATTAGCTATTTTTCCAGGTAAGTTAATGAGTGGTCGCCATTTATTCCGGTTAAGGCTCCCTATGCATTGGTGACGATCTATTAGTGTGTATATATATGTACGATTATATAGCTATTGAATGAGTTTTAGTTAGAGATAAATTGTTTATCGGTTCTTTGATTTGGGTCGTAATAGAAAAGGCTTGCTCGTGAGTTTAATCCACACTTTATTATCATTTTTCAAGTCCTCGTCAGTTCCAGTTTTAGGGTTGTGTTCGTGTTGTTGATCAAAGACAGTCTTCATTATTCTACTGGATTTTTCGATGTAGGATATTATCTTATCTATTTATTCATTAGACGTAGACAATATTTATTATTTCAATTATGAAATTATTTAAGGGTACTTAATTTATGAATTCTCGAGTTGTAAATGTTAGAGGTTTATTTAGTTATTAATTTTTATTGGAGGATTTATTATCAGTTGATTATTTTTTAAATTAGATTTCCATTCAGCGTTTTATTATTTATTCTTATTTATCATTTTGTATTTCGTATTTGTTTATCATTAATTATTTGATATATCCCGGTTTTCAGTGCGAACCTGATCAATCCGCGCTTGAAAATTGGGGGTATCACCTAATCTTTATTCCTTTTCCTATCACCATCTATATACGTTTATATATATACGTATATATGTATATACCTTTCTCTTAGATGATTCTTTTCCGTTTTTATTTTCTTTTATAAAAGTTATATACAATGAAACTGTTTTTTTTTTTTTCAATTATATACAACCAACTTTTTTTTTTTCCCACCTTTAACTAAAAATAAATATAAAAAAAATAAAAAAAAAAAACCTTCTTTTTCCCCACTTTCTGAAACTTTTATCTAATAATTTGGATTCATTGGGGGCAGTGTGTGCTATGTAATAAAGGAAATTGAAAGAAACTGGAAAATAAAAGAAAAAGGAAAGAATCTATGAAGCACGGATACGGACACGGGATACAGGTACGACACAGACACGGCGGGGATACGGCTATATATATATATATATAATTATTTATTCAAAATCTATAATTCATTATCTAAGCATTTAAGAACCAAGCAAATAATTTATCACTTAAAAGTCATAAGTTCAATAACCAAAAATCTACAATATATGCATCTTTCATCATTGGCCATAAAACTACAACAAATAACAAGACTAATTTTAATAATTTTATCTCTGTTATAACTTATAACTAATGAACTGATGCATTTATTTTCAAAGAACCACATATAATTTGAGTCTACAATACAGTCTCAAATATTTAAATTAGGATTCTTGAAGCTCACTTTATTTAGACATATCCCTCAAATTCAAATGTAGTGTTCATATATCACATCACATTTTAACACAAAAATCTAAATGCACCATTAGAATAACAACCACCATCTGAAAAAGGGTGTTTAAAATCATATATATTTTTTTAAAGGAAATTTAAAAATGACAATGCAAAGAAATATGACTGATTGGCAAACAGTGACCACAGAACAACATATTCCACCCAACCCTTAAAAAAAGAAAAAAGAAAAAAATAAAGGTAAGAAATATGGCCAATTTCTCTTGTCTGGAACTTTGTCTGTAGAAAATCCATAACAAAGGTGAAGGGACCCTTAAAAAAATCTTGTTCATGTACGTAGAGAGTAACAGAGATCTAATTGAAGAAGAGGAGAGATGAAGTGAGAGAAAAGAAACCTACTTGGTGGAGTCGCTGTAGTAGACACCGGAGAGACGAAAAATTTGGTGAAGAGTTGCTGTCGCTGAGCTTGTAGTCGCATCTGGGAGAGGAATCGCCTTGGGCAATCGGCGAAGGAACATAGGATTTGGGAATTTTGGGTCTAGGGCACAGAAGACAGAACATATATCGGTGTTTAGAATTTTACTGTGTAGTCTTTAGTATAATAGTATTAGTATGTAATTGTTTTATATTTTTTTAAAATTTTATTTTTTACTTCTAAAATTAGTAAATTACATTAGGTACCTATTTATCTTTAAAAAAATTACAAAATAAACTCCGTCGTGTTCGTGCCATGTCCGCTGTGTGTTCTAGCCGTGTTCAATAAAAAATAATTTATGGACACTTCGCAGAAGTGTCGGACAAGTGTCCAAGTTTCGGACACGGGTGTCAGTGTTCGAAAAATGTTCGACATTGGTATGGGATCCCTGGAAAGAGTGTCCGTGCTTTATAGGAAAGAATCCATAATGAGAAGATTCCTTGTGTATATATATAAAAACGTAAGAGGGATAACGAGAGGAAAAGGGGAAAAGAAGAAAAGGACGGATAATTTGGTCATACAAAAATACTATGTTTTAATAATTCCATAAAAGTAGAGAAAACCTAATAATTACAATGGCAGTGATTAGAAAAAATTAAATAGAGTCATAATTTTTGGGCCAACTAATTAGATTTATTTATCAAAGTGAAATAGTTATAAACATTGATGGCCTAAAGTGGAATTCCATTTTAGGCCCCACTTCAGGTTAATTTTAATAGTTTCACTTTGACAAATTAGCGCAACTAATTACCTAAATATATGTTCATGATCATAATTGTTTTATTTTTATAAATAGACTAATTATTAGTTCTGAATATTATTTTTTTAAAAATTTATTGTCATCAACACCTTAATTAAGAACTATTCCAAAATAGGATCAACACCTAATAATATCACAATTAAGAATTAATACAAACTTAATAATATCACATTTAATACAATCAACACTTAATAATGATTTGTTCTACGTTAATGAATGACGACAAATTTAACTAATTTTATTTAAGTAATTGTAGATATTATTACGAAGTTAAAATATTAATAACATCCTGATTACATTAATCCTCAAGTTATTATTATATTAAAAATATTAATAATGTCACGATGACATCTATCCACATTTATTTAAATTAATTGGAGTAATTATTTTAAAATATTTGATAATATAAATACAAGAAAAAAAGAAAAAAGAAAAAAGAAAATGTAAAATAGAAATAAAAAACAAAACCCTGAAAATATCTGCTCTATTCAGTATTGATTGCATTGCTGAAAGAAGAAACTGGCGGCCGAGCCAGACCAAAACGGTAGTACTATATCCAAATACACAATCAACGGCTAATATAAAAATCACCGTTCAATCTGACGGCTCAAACCAAAACCGCGTCATAGTAGTACTTCGCATGAATCCTTCGTCCTGAACGAAAATCTTCTCTACATCCCAAACTCAACTCCAGTCTAACGTTTCTCTCTCTGGGACTCAGATTCACTACATACAGACACATATATATACAGAGATATATATATTTATATATAAACACGCCAATTTGTGGTGTCTCTGTGCTCTATCATCTCGTATTTTAGAGAGAGAAAGAGGTAAAGAGAAATAAAGATGCAATCGAATAACGCCTCTGATCCACAACCGCCACAGAACCAACAGCCGCATGCGGCAGCGGCGGCTGGGCCACCTCCACCGCAGCAGCAGCAGCAGCAGTGGGTGGCGATGCAGTATCCGGCGGCGGCGATGGTAATGCAGCACCAGATGATGCCGCCGCCACATTACCCTCCGCACTACATGCCGTACCACCAGCATCACCTCCACCATCAATATCAAGCTCAGCAATATCAACCGCAACAAGGATCTAACGGCGAGAATAAGACGATCTGGGTCGGCGACCTCCATAATTGGATGGACGAGGATTACCTACACAACTGCTTCGCTTCCACCGGCGAGGTATACTATCACTCTTCACCCTTTCAATTCGTATATACCCACTATCATTCACATTGATAACAGTATATATCTTGGTCCTTGTATCGAAATTGCTTGGTTGTTATTCAGATTTGTCTATCTAGTGGACATTACTATGCTATTACTTGGTTAAATTTTAATTCTTGCTGTGAATATTTGTTAATTTTTACATTATTTAAACAGAGTTCAGATTTCTCAATATATTGGTCTTAGAAATAGTTGAAATAAGGGTGTTGTGTTGAGTTATACGCTTCCTTGGTATACGAATTAGATGTTTTGTGACATGCAATAACTTTGGCCTAACTTTGTGCAGTTTGTGTGAGGTGGAAAGTGTTAAAGTTTGTTGCTTTTCTTGAAAAAGACTCAGCTTTTCCAAGAATCATGATTGACAAGGACATTTTCTTGGTAGGATAAGGACATTCTTGTATGGACCAGTCGGGCCAATTTGAAGTGGTTGTGGTTGATATGGGTGTCTTACTAACTTCTCCAAATATGCCTGACTGGAATGGTTGTGCAATGTATCCCGGGTTTCGTGTTTAGATGATCTTATTGGAATGCCTAGTGCCTACAATAATGGGCTGCCTAAAGGATTTGATACAATCATGAATGATATAGTTTATGTGCAAAGCAATATGTACCACCGACATGTTTCAAATTCTAACTGTTGCACAATGTACAACGCGGCTCATGTACATGTATGATGACATTGCAAATGATGCGACTTCATCAGTTTCCATTTTTTTTTAGAAATCATCAATTTTTTTCCCCTTTCAAAATCCTATTGTTCATAGGTTATTTAGAACTGTCCTGTAACTGGTATAATTTTTTTATATGTTCTCTTGTCAATTTTATTTGCATAACATTCCTCTAGTTATGCTCCACCCACCACAAACAAAAAGAAAAGAAAAAAAGTATTGTTTTCCAGTTAATTTTTTTTAATAGTTTTGTGCTTCCAAGAATCCAGGTTTAAAAAAAAAAATTGCTAATTCTTGTCTTGTAAATTGAAGACTTCGATCAAATCATTATTTTTAATATTCAGTAGGTTATTGAATCTTTATGTATGTATAACCTGAATGTCACCTTGTGGATCAAATTGCAGTAGGATCCACTACAACGTTGAAGGTTCAATTATAATATAATTCTTGAAAACATCGAATGAGCTAAATATATTGTGGTGTTTTACCCTCTTTGTGTTTATATAATTTTCCCTTCCTAATGTGAAACCACTGGGTATTGATTGTGGAGGATACAGTCATAGACAGAGCTGAATGAGAAATCAAGCCTCATGTAACTGGCCCCCAAATAGTTGGGACAAGACCCTTTCTGAGTAGAGTTTCATTAGATGTGAAAGATGTTATCATGGTATGTTTTATTATGTAAAGACACAATCAGTTTGTGAAGCACAGATACAGACCAAGGTAGATTATTTTCTTGGAGCAGCACGGCATATCCTAAAATTAGTATTAGGATACAATGGAGAGAGAACTTTAAATCAATATTATACAAATAAAATTATTATTTTTTAAATGGATAAATATTGAAACTTTCCATCTCATATTTATCAGTAATCACAAAAGCAGTTCTAATTTATTTACCAAGATAGTGCAGTGGATATGATGACAACACATTCATAAAACAGAATAATTTATTGAAGTGATCTGAGCTCCATTCAAGTATTGCAAGTGCGTCACATGTCACAACATATCTCCTTGTTTCAGAATCATATTCCAATTTTTTTTTTTTTTTGGGACCTGTTTAATGCACCACTACATATCGTCACCTTGTATATACCAGATATTGCACGGGAGGAGTATCCGACTTTATAGGTTGTTATCAATTGATTGAAAAGGTAAAAGAATTTATAATTTGAAAAGCCTCTTGCAGTTGAATTTTGAATATTGTCAACTTGTGCTCCAAACAACAGTTTCTTCTTTCCAATATATAAAACTAGCAGATAATAATGCAAATGAAGGTTTCCCGATCTTCAGTCTTTTTCCCCTCTTTAATTGAACAAATTGATAAATATGATCTTACTTTATGAGCAATAGTAATTTAAATTCTGTTTAGATAATTACCACAATGTGCTTGTGCCATTTACATCAACATATGTTTTTATTTTTATTTTTTTATGCAGCTTACTTCCATAAAGGTTATTCGTAATAAACAGACTGGTTTGTCGGAGGGCTATGGATTTGTGGAATTCTATTCACATGGTGCAGCTGAGAAAGTTCTACAGAACTACACTGGCTGCATGATGCCTAATACAGAACAACCTTTCCGTCTGAACTGGGCTACATTTAGCATGGGTGATAAGCGTTCCAATAACGGTTCTGATCTTTCCATATTTGTAGGAGATTTAGCTTCAGATGTTACTGATAGCTTATTGCATGAAACTTTTGCTAGTAAATATCCATCTGTTAAAGCTGCTAAAGTTGTAATTGATGTCAACACCGGTCGTTCAAAAGGTTATGGTTTTGTAAGGTTTGGTGACGAGAATGAGAGATCACAGGCCATGACTGAAATGAATGGTGTGTACTGTTCAATCAGGCCCATGCGTATTGGTGCCGCAACACCGAGGAAATCATCTGGATTCCAACAGCAATATTCTTCTCCAGGTAAGCGTTAATTTTTCTTGTAAAAGAACTGTTGTTGTAAAGTGCTTTCTCCAATGAAAAAGCAAAGCTTGTTGCAATAATACATTATGTTAATTGCTTTCTAAGGACTCCATACATGGTTCACCTGAAATGGTGTCTGTAGCATATGGACAAATAAACCATGATTTTTACTAGGTATGTGTATTTCAATAGTGCATTGTCTTATTTCTACCTTGGGGTTAAAAATGTCCCCTTTTTTTTTTGTCCCTAGTCTTTTTCTCTAAGGAGGTTAGATTTAGTTGTGAATTCTTGGAAATTATGGAAGAGGTTTTAATTGTATCAGTGGCTGGAATGTAAATTTCCATGGATGATTTAGTTAGATTGATGATTTTTTATTTAGGAAAAAAAAAAAAGATTGATGATTTTTGGGCTCTCTATCCCCTTGATATTGTATAAATTCACAAGCTTCACCATTCTCATATATTATTCCAGTCACTTAGGTTTAAAGTTTTGTTTTTGTGTACGCCTTACCTTTCATTATTCTCCTGATAGTGCATTGTTGCATTGCCCAATTTTTTACATGTGCCAGCGTTGACTAACCTTTATCTAGGTACTTACAACTTAATAGTTAATGTTCTTTACCTGTATGCATGTTACTTACTATTTTTTGACCCTATGATGTGTAAATGCTTCTTATGTCTTTTACATTCTTGAATACTCTGTAGCATAGATATGTTGAACTTGAAACTACCTGCATATATTTATATGCACACAAACATGGGACATGATCAAGTTAGTCTGCTCTACTGTGCCTAATAACTTTTTGTACAACTCATTTTATCCTGCTTGTCATGCATGTCAACTATCAATTTACAAGTTAATTAAATCCAGGTTAACGTTTGGTTGATTAACTCATAATTCTATAGTAAAATATTATTCGATTCTATAGATCGACCCCAAGGCTTTGATACATCAGAATGCACAAAGCCCTAGATCTAGAGGAGGATAAATAGATCTTGTTCAGATTTTGATTATCAATAATTAATTTTAAAATCTAATACTTATATTTAATATGTAGTAATATGAATTACTTAAAGTATAGAGAGCAAAAATGAATAATCAAACAATTACACATCAAAACACTTGACTTTACATGGAAAACCCCAACCAGATTCCCAAATCTTAAAATCCCCCAGTGACCTATTGACTTAGACTTCCGCTAGACTGTCTACTTGTGCTCTTGCCGCTGTCAGCCAACGGATCTGCTTCTCACGCTATTTGCTTCTCCTTTAACACATTGATCCCATGACTAGTGACGTTCTATCAGTTGTTTGATATGTGAAACTTAATGAGGTTTTGAGATCTTTAAGTTCTAGGAATTGTATGTTTCAACACACATGAACACTCACCATTTGTATGCATACATGATGAATGAAAGTGTTAACAACCATCTACTCTAAAAGCTTAAGCTATTAGAGAGGGTGCAACTTTTAACATTTTTATCCTTCAACACATCCCCTCATGTGTGGCCTTCTTCTTGGTCCAACACGTGTTCTTCAATTTTTAATTAGGGTGACAGTGAGATTTGAACTCCAGACCTTTGGCTCTGATACCATGTTAAGCTTTTAGAGTGGGTGCAACTTTTAATATTTATATCCTTCAACAGAAAGAAACAAAATTCTAGCAAAGTTCATAGATGATGAATGAAAGAAACAAAGTTCTAGCAAAGTTCTCTTGCATACATTATAAAATTGCCTGACAAAAACATGATGCTCAATAAATGCTCTATGCTTGCATGCAATTTGTCTCTCTTGGCATGTTTCCTGTAGACTTAGGGTTTTATTTATAGAACTTGGAGGCTGACGAAGTTTAGGTTTAAAAGAGTTCAAATCGGATTTGGGAACTGCCTTTCCACAACTTTCCATTGTTTGAGGTTCAATCGATTGAATCTAGTGCCGTGAGTCTTGATTGATCCTTTCAGTGAGTCCCAAGGGATCCTTCAATTGGGTCCCCAGAGATCCTTCAATTTGTCGAACCCCCAGTCCTAGTTCTAATAGAATTGGACTTTCCAGAACAGTTTTATGTGTTTCAAAACTTGTTTTTATGGATCAAAACATGCAATTTAAATAGCCTAACATATTTAATAATATGAATGAATGCATGTAAACCCTAAATTAGTGAGTGCACAATAGTGAGAGTTGAATTTACCTTTTTGAAGCTTTGAAAACTCCGATTTGCTCTTGACGTAGGTAACTCAACTACCAAACTTAACTGAACTCAAGTTCTCAGCTACCTAATTTAACTTAACTACCTTTTAAAAGACAAGCAAAAACTATATATTTTTTCTTCTGTACCAATCTCGAAACCTTGACCTAGGATTTGGAAGTTAAGACCCAAAACCACCAACACAAAGATAGACTGGTAACAAAAACTAAAAATTGAGATTAAAGTTCAATTGATCTACATCTCAACTTGACAATGCCTCTCTCCCAAACTATTTGGGGTCAACTACATGAATCCTATTTTTCTCTTATGATTCATGTTCATATGGTCCTGACAAAAGTTTTATTCTGGCTTTTAGGCTAGGTAACACAACCATCCTTTTCCGGGCTTGGTCTGGCTGTGTAAAGATAAAGGCACTAAACATGACACGGGCAGAGTTAAATAAAATCTGTAGCCCAAGTTAAACGAGTGGTCAGAATTGAATCCATAATTCCAGTCACTCTTTTTAAATTCATTCCAGCAGTTAACCACTATGTGATAGTGATTTTTTAATATGCGACATTCAATTTAATGTTTGGATTGATAAAAGATAAATCATAGTAGTTTTTGAGAATTGTGAATAACTTATTCTTTCAGCAGGTTTAACTAGATCCTGCTCCGACACATGCACAAATGTGTGTGTATAAGTATATATCTTGTCCACATGACTTTGAATTAGTGAGATAACTAGTTTTATTGTGCATTTATTTATTTTTATTTATTATTTATTTGTTTTTATTTTCTTATTAATTTTGGTTTGAGATTTAATTGAATAATTGCATTAGTATTGTAATGCATAAAGATGTGTGTGTCTTTGTTAAATAAAAATAGAGGGGAAACAGTTGTTGATCTAATGACCAAGGATAACTCCAGTTGAGTTTATAGGAGTATTCATGTACTGTGGCACTTGTTCCTCATGGGAGGAACATATGCATGGAGCCTTGTGTATATTGTTGCCGCCTTTTCTTGTGGTGAAAAGTTATCAGCATGGCTTGCAAGTACCGTTTCTTGGTGTTGCATGGTGTCTTTCAGCATTAAAACATCATGTTGATTGGTGCGAGTACTACTATTGTAAAATGCATCAAGGTTTTTTTTTATAAAACCTCACCTGATACCAACTATGTTTGATTTGAGGTTGTCCAAATCATGATTATGCACTGTGAACAATTAGGATAAGAATTTTGTTGTTATGAAACAGAAAATTTAATAAATTATACCCCAAATGAAAAGAAATCATATATTTGTCACCTCCTTTAAAATCTGTTGGAGCCTTGGAGAAAGAAATCATATCTAGGTTCAATACTTAAGTTAAGTTTGAATTTCTTCATTTGCTTGCTGAAGGCTATGGACTTGACTACATGTTTCTCGTGTGGGTGTTCATCAAAGAGTCAGATTTATCAACTATACAAAACCTAGGACATTGAGACATGACTATGTATTTATATATATTTTTAATATTCTTTTTTTTTTTAAGCAAATGATGTTTCTGTGTGAGAGGGCATTCAAAAATGGGAACTTATTCATTTTGAAGCTGTAAAACTTGTCCTTTTGATGCTCTGATGTAACATAAGGAACATAATACTAGAATTTTATGTACAATTATTTGGTAGACTTCAATTGTTGGATATGCTTCTTAGGTGCATGTCAATCAAGACATGTTGGACGCATATCCAGTTTCTTACTTGGGTACTCACATATTTGAAAGAGTCCAAGTATGATTGGCTAAAATGATATTGGATTTTTTGTGAAGGAATATGGAATCTGAATCAGGAAAAGATTAAACCAGCTGTGGAACTTGTTTATCAACAAGGAGAAGAAATGGAATTGCATCCAACTCAACTTAACAAGCGTTAAGTTGAAATACATGGAGTTAGCTGCATGGATCCCATTGGCTCTTTGTATAGTCATAATCTTTGGTTAATCCTATGTAGCCACGTCCACTCTCCTTGCCTCCACCATTGTTATTTTTGGCCTTTATCATTTGTTGAAGCAATTTCAATTGATTTTAATAGGCCATTTAATCTGATTTAAAACCCATAAATAACATACATTTTCAAGTTCTTATCCAATCACAATAAAGAGTCCACATAGTGCGCTCAAAATGTCAAATATTCTTTTAAAATTCATCAGAAGTCCTCTTCCACCAACCATAAAGAGGTCTAAAGTAATATTGAAATCAAACCTATAACTGCATAAATCCTAAAGCTTTGTTTGGACAGAAGTTGTGTTTATTAGGTAGTATGAATTTGGATAAATTGCATTCTAACAAATTGCATTTTATTGATTTTAGGGGTGGGTTGTTTAGATGAGTATATTACTTTCAGCTTAGATAGACCTGGCGGAGGTAGTGGTTTAGCAACAATGTTTGAAGTGGGGACAGAGATGGAGGATGAGATGGTGCAATTGCCTCTTTGTTTGGCTTGGTAATTGTTGTTGTGAATGTGGCAATGGTTGTGGGGTGAAGGTGGTATTGATCTTAGTATTCTGGTGTGAAGACAAGATTTTTTTAAAGTTGGTCAATCAGTAATATTAATTTTTATGTTGTTGACAAATAAAAATAAAGAATCATTGCAAAATAAAATAATAATTTAATCAACTTCTCGCATATATTCTTAGAAATATAAAAACTGAATGTCTAAACTTTAAATTCTGGTGGTGGGAGGAACACTCTAAATGCTTTTTATTTTTTATTTTTTAAGTGATATAAATAGTATATTGACAATTTTGTGCTAACATGTAGAATATGTTCCCTTCAGTTACACTGTTACACAACTAACCAATGCTTTTTGACCAGTCAACCACATTTTGGGGTTGGCCTTGGTTGCCATTGTAGTTATTTTGGCAATTATTAGCGATTATTGTTCTTAACCTTAATTCCTTATTCTGGAGAACTCTCGTCACTTTTTGGTATTAATGAATGACCCTATCTATTTCTATACCTGAAATATTTGACTTTAGACAAGGCAATCACAAAAAATCTTAATTTATTTTTATAATATCAAATAAACCACAACTCTTTAATTTCAGTTGGGGGTCACTTAAACCCACTCTACTCGTACCTTTATTCCTAGTGGTATTTGTAGAGGAGAAAGTGTTTATAGTGGTGGCATGGTGCTGTTGCATAACTGATGGATCGATCAATGGTGGTTGTGGTGGAGTTGGTGGCTGTAGAGTGATATTATGAAGGAGAATGTGGAGTATATAATGTAGCAAGTTGCTGTCATTGGGGCAGGGAGACTGGGTTGTTCTGGTGGTGGCAATCTTTAGTGGTGGAGGCATCTTGGTGGAAGTGGAGGGATGGTTGGTTCGTTGCATTAACACATTATGGTATGATGGTTGCATTGAAGGGAGACACATTGTGAGATTGAAGTAGTGCTGGTGGCAGTTTTCTGTTGTAAGATCTTATTCCTCTTCAAGCTGACAAACTGAAATAAAATATGCCTTTACAGCTGAGGTCATTATTGCAAATTTTACTGCTTTCAGTTCAACCGTATATTTAAGGAAATAATGATTTGGATGGTTTCTGCAACCAATTTTTTTCAGATTTAAAACCACCACGTGCTTTCTTTTTGTGCATTTTATCTTGAAGATGGCTCTAGCCTCTGGCAGACGTGGAAAAATACTTGACCTTTAGTATAACAAATATCTCTTCATGATTTTATTGTTGATTCAGAATTGTTTCTTTCTGGTTTATGTCCCTTATATATAAGAACATTAAGAATTTAGTTACTCCATTTATTCTATTAAGTTGTTTACTGGTTGCTTTTGGTCTTAAATCGGCGATAGTAAATATCACAATTTTGATCACTCAAAACTTTTAACAACTTTGTTCTCTTAGAAATTATATTGTTCTCTGCAATAGTATGCCAATCAAGGCTACTGAAGGTTAAAATAATGGTTTGCAATTTGCATGCATGAAGTTCCAAGTAACAATTGCTTGTAATCTTAAATTTTTTCACTTGTCGTTTCTTTTTAAATCTAAATCTGCTTTAGTTTTGATAGGTGGGTATGTGCCAAATGGTGCCTCGGCCCAGGGCCCCCAATCTGACGGAGATTCTACAAATACAACAGTTAGTTTTCCAGCTTTTTCTTGTGTTTTAACCACCGGTGAACACCTTATATTAGGCTAATCAAGGATTGGTTTGCAGATATTTGTTGGAGGGCTTGACCCTAACGTCACCGATGAGGATCTCAGGCAGCCTTTCTCCCAGTATGGTGAGATAGTTTCTGTAAAAATTCCAGTTGGTAAAGGATGTGGGTTCGTGCAATTTGCTAACAGGTAGATTACTCCTGAAATTGTTATTAGTTACATCATCGGATGGTATGTCAATTTTTTTTGGCTTTGGCTAAATTTTTAGTTACTTTGTCAACCATTTAATTTATCTTGATAGAAATCATGCTGAGTCGGCACTGCAGAAACTGAATGGTACAGTGATTGGCAAGCAAACAGTTCGGCTTTCTTGGGGACGAAATCCAGCAAATAAACAGGCAATCATCTCTTTCCCTTCCCTGCTCTCCTCTCTCTCCCTCTAATGTATTCTTGAAGTGGGGAAAAATATCCCAAGATAAATATTTTTTAAATTATCAATGTAGAGTTTATGTTTGGGTTTCCCAAGGAAAACAAACTACAACAACAAAAAACATAGTCTTTTCCCAACTACTTTTTTTCCTAGTTGGTATTCACACACACATGCCTCCACTGAGGCTTGAACCCTTGACCTCCCTTTGGGAGGTAAGGACCTGATACCGCTAGGCCACCGACCCGTTGGTCTTTTCCTAACTACTTGGCATTGGGCTTATGTTGGGCTTCTTGAGGAGAACTATTTAAAAAATTCTTGTTTGCGAGAAATTTGTTATATAAGTTTCTTGAATATCATTATTGAACTATTTCCAAAAAGCAGCATGTATTTCATGCTTTAGAATATGATGGGAACTAGAACCGTTTTAGTGGTTGAAATTATCATGCAACAAATTTCCTCCAAACTGCAGCTTGCCATCAAACGATTCAAATCTGTCTGAAAAATTAAGTATCTTATGTTCTATGTTTGCCAGTTTTATTTTTTCCTTACTTGAAATTATCATGCAACAAATTTCCTCCAAACTGCAGCTTGGTATCAATTGATTCAAATCTGCATCTGAAATTTCCTTACTTGATGATATTTCTGGCTTTTGGCAGTTGAGAGGTGATTTTAGCAACCAGTGGAATGGCGCATATTACGGAGGACAAATTTATGATGGTTATGGATATGCTCTGCCACCACCTCACGACCCAGGCATGTACACTGCAGCAGCAGCGGCGTATGGGGCTTATCCCACGTACGGCACCCACCAACAACAAGTAAGCTGAATGGCTGTCTGTCCACAAGAACATATTTAGTTCGAGTGACAAGACATCCTTAGCAGAATAGAATGAGCTTAAGCGCTTCATTTGTCTGTAGCTTGGTTGGTTGTAGAATTTTCGTGATCCCCGCGGAACTGAATTTTGACTACATGAGGTAGCTTTTTCTAGGAATTTTATTGAACATTTGTTAAAAAGTTCGGGATTTAGCATGAAACTTCTTAATGGGAATAAATTAATTTGCTTAAAATGGTGTGATTGTGTGCTTCATAATAAATCAGAAGTGTGGTCTGGTTCTGAATGATATGATGGTTGTCATTTGATGAGGGAGTTTTTTACAGGCTCTTCTTATCATGACCAGTACATGTTATGCTCTCGGAAAAAGCTTGTATCGGATAAGAAAGTATGTGGTGATGTATCATGCTATTTTATTCCGTGCTTTTGCTTTCTGGAATTCGCATTCTATCATTGCAAATGATGCAGCTCGAGTGAATCGAGTGATGGACAATATTTATTTGATTTCAAGCAATTGACTGCATGATGTAGATTTATAGTTAATTGAAAAAGTAAACCTTATATATGTTAGAGAGATATATTTTTATGTATTTTTATATTTGTTAAGGGTAGCTTTGTATTTTGGATGGTAGGACGAACTTTTGGTGTCTGGATGAATCACGTCTACAGTGTAGCGAATGTGAATTCAAATCCCTTCCGTTGCACAAGTCTGCAACTTGAATCAGTTTAAGAATGATTTTCGTTGAATGGCATTGCATTTGTTACTTGTTTCAATGGGCACACATTTATTGCATGGTAAATTACACTAGGTTGTGTTCGACTGCAGTGTATGAAATTAAAGTCTTGGGATTGGAATTAGAATTGGTAGAATTTAGTATAAAAAAATAAAAAATAAAAAAATTTGTTTTTCTTAATTATTTTTTAAAAAAAAAATTTAAAAATTTTAATTCTATACAACCGAACACACCTTAAATCAATCTATTATCGAATCAAATTTTACAATTGGAATAGAAAACATTTGCATCTCAATAACTCGTGTGAAAAATGTAATTCATTATAAAAACATTTGCATCACAATCAACTACATATGGATGGGCATGCCTAGGTGTTGACAAAATTGAAATTTCAAATGAAGTTCAAATGATTCTGAAACTGGGTTCTAATTATTATTAATTGTTTCAAATGAGATGTTATATTTGCACTCTCATGAATCTTTTTGAAAAACGAAATGACATAAATACAGTGGTTCGATGTAACAATTTTTTCAATAAAAAATTATGGAATATAAGAAAGTATCTGAGGAGCCATTTAACCATTTCCATAAACTCCATTATTTGGTATGATTTTCAATAAATGAACTCACAACAGAAGTATTACACACGCACTCACACACACACACGTATATATATACTATATCATGTACTGTTATTTGTGTTTATACATGTGCATAAAGCATGAGTGTGTGACCATAGGAGAACGTGGTCTAAATGCTTTAGAAAAAGCTGATCCCCTTAGTTAGTGATATGTGAAGTCCATTTATAGGATGAAACGCTTATCCGACCCTTCAGAATTTTCAGACTCCAAAGAAACAGTGCTGATTCTATGCATATGATGTCCATCATTCCCGCAAAACCCCATCCACTGAATTATTATTATTTTTTTAAGTATTCTACTCCTCCCCCCCCCCAAAATTACTAAAAAAAATTCACTATTACCCCCCAAATTGTTGCCCCCCCTACCTTACATCCTGCCTCCGTCCCCGATCTCATACACAAATTGGAGAGAGATATCAGAAAGAGTAGTAGTAACCATGGTTCGCCTGCATATTGACTGGTTCGTAATATTTTTTTTTTGTTGTCCAGAAATGTGTATGTGTATCATATAGTATAGTATTACTATTTAAATATTATATAAAATATAATATATATATATATATATAATTATTATAAAACAATAATATTTATAATTCTCTAATGATATATATTATACTAAATAAAATATAATTATATTAGTATAATAATAAAACCGAACTATATATAAATAAAGAAACTTGGTAATGGGCCGAGGGTAGAATTTAATTTTATCTCCTTAAGACAGATTCGCTCCGCTATGGTGCTGACAGCCTTTGTAACGTATGTCTCTTAGGATATAAAGACCTTTCTTTCTTCGGTAACAATATTGCAAACTAGAGAAATAGCCGAACCGGCTCGATGAAATACTCTCTCTCTGAACCAGACTCAAACTCACACATTAACACTATGTGTATGCAAATAAAGGAAAAGAAAAGAAAATAGGAAAACTCAGAATTAGAAAAGAAGATTTCTGAGTTTGGTGTTATTTGCAAATGACCCAAGGGGGTATTTATAGGCATACAGGTGTCTTTTCAGTTGACTCGAACAACCACAGGACACAATGGTTCAGCTTGAACCATCACCAAAAACACCTATTCAAATGGGGTGCACTGGTTCACACCAGGTGACGCTTTGTATGCACTGATTTGGACCAAACACAACCATTCCCAAAAATAAATTAAACCCAAACGCCAAGATCAACATTCCATTTAATAAAAAACGGACCGGATTTTACAACCAAGCCCAAGCCCGAACCGAACCGGGTCGGGTCGGCAGCGACTCGCGTGTGGTAAATGGTTTGGACCCAAGCTTGCCGAGGTCCTCTTCCTCTTAAAAACTTGGGTACCCTTGGGCCCAAACCTAAATCCCAAACTTAGGCTATATATACTCCAATTGATTTCACTTTATTTTCAATGTGGAACAACAACTTCTCACATTTTGCATACCCATTTAAGCTTATCAAATACCTTACTTTAAAGCTAATTTCTCATTTACCCAGAAACGGATTTGAGAAAGTAAATATACCACATTCATCTATAGATCCACAAGAAATTCTTAGCGGGACCTATTTAAAATTTCGCCCAAAGTTTCTGTTTTGTGTGTATTTATAATTTCATACTTGAGCTAGTAATGCTTGTTAATGGTAATTCAATGATATTGTTATTGATTGCATGCCTAATATGTTAATTAGACTTGTTATTGCGATATTAGTTGATAGCCAAGGTGCTTACTTGATGTGGCAAATTTTGTAATTGTACATATAAGTGTTATATTTACTTTTGAGGTTATGTGGAGGATATCGTGAGCTTGTTTTTTTGGAAGTATGACTATGTGGATATCTATGTTGTATTAGATTTGATAAAATGCCCTCTTGATTATATAGGGTTAACTATGATCAATTATTGCCTATGTTGTTGTCACTGAATTCATGAACATGCCATGATAGCATTGGACTTTAAGACCAGATTCGTCTGGAAAGCATGAGCTTATGTGCGCTTGTGAAGTGAAATTTAGATATATATATATATATATATATATATATATATATATATATGTTTATCTTGTGAAATTGGATGATGATTTTAGGATATTCTCGGGGATTATTGTACAGTTTAATCCATGACAGCAAGGGCTTAGCACTCGTAGGGTGAGCTCAGGCTCCCCAACTTTATTATAGTGGTCACTTGGTTAGTTATATGCGGGTTAGTAGCCCGAAAATAATTATTTTATTGGGTAGTTACCTGCGGTCCGATTACAAAAATAACTAACTTTTATCGATTTATGCAATGTGTATGACTGAGGGTGCGTGTGTATCGACATATCCCTCTGATTTGTTGATTTCGAATATATTTTTAAGTTGGCATCCATGTATAGTTGCAACTTAGTTTATTGTTATTATTTCTAATTCTGATTTTTGTTGAGGTTTATATAATGAAATGGATATGTCTAAGTACAATTGGTAGTAATTAAAAACTAAGAATAGATAAAAGAAGAAGATAATAATTTGGAAAATTTTCACAATACTGAAATGATGGTGTCATATTGTGTATTTATAGTTACAATAATAAGAGAGAGCTTGAGAGATTCTCCCAACAAACTTATCTCAACAAACCTATCCAAATTTTCCTTTGACCTAATTTTCTGGTTTATCCAATATATCATTAGCTAATCTCTTAACACCCCCATTCAAGATGGTGGTGGAGTAAGGACGAACCAGCAACTTGTCCCTTAGTAGTTGAAACCGGGGTACCGATAGAGCTTTGGTGAAGAAATTTGATATCTGGTCAACACTTGGAACAAACAAGATTTTAGAGAGCCACGTAAAATATGTTCCTGCAAGAAGTGATAGTCAATCTCAGTATGTTTGGTTCTAGCATGAAGAACTGGATTAGAGGCTAAGTATGTAGCACTGATATTGTCACAGTGAAGGATTGGAGGATGGTGTAATGGGATTTTCAATTCTTGAAGAAGGTATGTAAGCCATTGGATATCAGATGCAGTGTGTGCTAATGCCCTATATTTTGATTTAACACTTGATCTAGAAACAGTGGTTTGCTTCTTAATGGCCCAAGTGATGATGTTAGGACCAAAGTAAACACATAAGCCAATAGTAGAGCATCGATTATACGGAGAACCAGCCCAATCAACATCAGAAAATCCCCTCAGATGTTTATCACGAGATTTAACAAGATGCATGCCAAAATGAGGAATGTTTTTGATGTACTGAAGAATCTTTTTAATGGCGACTAAGTGAGTTTCACATGGCTGAAGCATGAATTAGGAAACCTGATTCACAACATACGTAAGATCAGGACGTAAGATGGTAAGGTATTATAGTGCACCAACGAGACTATGATAAGATGTGGTATTAACAAGGTTACTAGTATCATATAAGGATAATTTAGAACCAACAACAATGGGGGATAAGTATGGTCTAGCTAGAAGGAAATTAGCTTTCTTTAGAAGGCTGAGAGCATATTTTGTTTAACTCATTTGGATACCATAAGAATCACGGTAAACTTCAGTCCCCATAAAGTAGTGTAATGACCCAAGGTCTTTAATCTCAAAGTTCTTGTGCAGTTTAGTGAGGATTGTTGAGATAAAAGCATTGCTATAACCAGCGATGGGGATATCGTCCATATAGACGAGGAGAATAGTGATATCATGGTCAACATAGTGGAGAAACATAGACGCATCAGTTTTACTCTGAACAAATCCGAGCTCAAATAGTGCAGCACTAAAGCCATTAAACCATATTCTTGGTTGACGAGACCGCTCGATATACGCCAAAATAATGTAGTGAATGTGCGGTTCAAGAAAAGCCTTTTGGGTCAAGTTTAAATTTATAAAAACCACTACCAACACTACTACTAACGTAGCAAGA